ACCAAGACAACGGCATGCCTTTTATCCCCATGGTGCACAAGCTGCGCACGAAGCTGACTAACGCATGGATCATGCGTTGACCTTTAAAAGTGATTGGTTGCCCACTATGCCTTTTGAAATAATTGGCGGGTTGGTTGCCCTCTATTGCTGATGGGCCAGTCGCCGTGCTTCAATGACCTCATCCCATAATTCCCCCTACAGCGTGGTAGCAAGCACAAGATGACCAGAAGCAAAGTTTGCAGTTGCTCATTGCCCCACCCAAGGTAAATTCCCAACAATTGGAAGAATTCTTCTGCCCTTCCTCTGTCTACAAATTCCTCTGCCCTTCCTCTGCCCTACAATAGTTGGCAGCCTTGGAAGAAATGCTGCTGAGCAATCCGTGTGCTGATAATGCCTATCTTTGTTGGAGAGCGGCTCTACCCCTGAACTAACACACCCACAGATTGCTTCAAGGTAAAGCCTGCAAAACTCCTGAAACCTTTCACTAGCCTATTTTTCCCAACAGGCCTTGTGTGCTGAGATTAATCTATTGTCTTGGTGTGTCTGTGAGGGTGTTTTTGGGTAAGATTAGGCTTTGAATTGTGACTCAGTAAGAAATTGCGCCTTCCAATGTGGGTGTGCACCATCCCAACCTTGCTGAGGACCCTGAATAGAACAAATATGCCGGAAAGAAGAAAGGAGGAATTCACCTTTTTTTTCTTGCCTCACTATCTTAGCTGGGCCGTCCTGTTTCATCTTCTCCTGCACTGGACTTGAAGATTTACATCACTGCTGCCTTGGTTGTCAGGCTTTAAGACTCAGCTGAATTACACCACGTGTTTCCTGGGTCTGCCAACTCTGAAGGGCAGATCATGAGGACTTCTCCAATGCCATAATTGCCTGAGCCCAATTCTTGTAATAAATCCTGTAGTGTCTATGCGTCATGCTGATACTTTATATCTCTATATATCGTGTTTCTGTTTCTCTGATAATTTTGACTAATACAGTCTATTTTCTAACTAGTGGGGATATGTGATAAGAATTTAATATATTTCAGTTCGTTCCAAGATATCCATTGTGATAAATCTGCTTGGCCTATTTCTAGAATCCCTCCACAACACCCAATTTTATATCCAAATACTTTAAAATAATGAGAATTTTGAAGTAGGCAATTGACTTCTTAAGTAATTGTAAATCAGACTTTGAACATATTGACACTCTGCATTTTAAGAAAGAAATTACAACCAAAATAAATTTTAGTTGAGAACAAGGCTAATTTTTCATAGGAAATCTGAAACAGGTATGGAGACGGAATTTCTGTGCTCCTCTCCCTACTAATTGCCTCACTCTCTGTGCTAGTTGAAGTGGAAATACAGCTCATAAAATCTCAATATCAGGCAAAGTTAATCACAGTGGTTAGCCTAGATGCTTCCTTTTCTCCCCTCTCCTACCTGACGTGAGCCTTCTCTCTCAATGAAAACCATTCCATGACCATCTTGAAGATTACTATTCCTACTGTTGGTTCATTGAGATGCTTGAATATCCTTGAAGATTGTGTACCACTTCACTGGTGGGTCTCATATTCATGAATCACCAAGTGTAGTCATGATACCCTACAAGTGTATCTCCCCAAGTTTGATGACTTGCCATCTTAACAACCTCCATTCAACTCCACCTAGAGGTACCTGTCCTGAAATGTTCCCGTATATCAAAATGTTAAAGAAAAACAATAGCATTGTGAATTGACCTTCCCTTCATGCTGGACTTTAAGAATGTGTTAGATGTTACACTGTATTTTCTCCTGTAAGACTTCTTGAAGGTGTGGTAAATTATCATGAGAATTTAATAAATCAGGGAAGAGAAGTAGACTCCAAGAGCTGTGTCCTTGGAATATGCTGGTATGACCACTTAACTTTCTAATGGTAGTCTCTGTGGTGCTAGCCTTTGGTTCAGGGCAATCAGAAAGTCTTGGATGTCTACTTGCAGAAAAGGTAGCGAGGCCACCAGGGTGTCTCCATGGCCAAGCACAGGACCCTCTTTGCTCTGCTTTGGATCATCTTTCCTCCTGGGAGCTCTGGGGCCCCACTGCCTCTGATCTTAGCCAATTCTCAGCATAGAGACTTGTGAAAGAGGAACTGCATGGGAATGATAAGAAAGGGTGGGGGAAGGTATAGATGGGCAGGAGGAAGGCCATGGACACAGGGAGGGGAATAGGATGGGACTGTAACATGGAGAGTATGCATGTGATTTACTGATATTGGAAGACTCCTCTGTTTTCCATATACCCTCACTTCCAGTTCTCCCCTGGGGCCTATTGATCCTTCCTTGAACATCTGTTCTGATCTGCACCTTCTCTTCAATGTCTCTTGCTGATACCCTAGTCTTATGTGCTATTATTTGGCTGGAACACTGTCAGCTCCTGACTGGTATTCCTACTTCTACTCTTGTTGAGATGGAGCAGGGACTCCTTTTAGGGGCTGCCAGAACTCTCAAGCATGGAAGCAAAAGAAGACTTGAGTCTCTTCAAGGGAAATCCCAGGCACCTACCTAGTATGCAAAGAAAATGAGCAACCTGGTAAAGAGAAGATAGTGCAACAATAGTCTCCTAAGTATGCCAGAGTCATAAGGTATTTTGGTTCCCTATAGAAACTAAAAGATAAATCTTAAATTATGTTCTCAATTTGTTTTGCAGAAATCCTGACCAAATGAAAAATGCCAATGCTATCAGGTAGACCACTCTGACTGCTGTTCTTTGTTCTAAATTTCTTCCTGAGGGTCCCTGGGGAGAGTCACACCTAGAGGAATCAAAGAATCTCTGAATCCACCTCTGATCCTCAAGACCCTGCCTTCAAGATATCCACTTTTTTTGGGCAAACCCAATGTATAACCTCTATGTACTGGTTTTATGATTTTGCTTACAACTTCTGCTTTCCTGAAATGCACCCCTGCCTTTAAAAACCCTTCCTTGTAAGCCATCTGGAGTTTAGATCTTAAGTGTTAGCTACCTGTTCTGCTTACTTGGCGCCATACGTAAAATGCTCCATTCTCCCACTGCAAATCTGGCTTTACTACACAAGGTGAGAGCAGACTCCGGTTCAGTTGATAATATTTTCCTCAAATAGTCTGTTTCACACAGAAGTTAGACTGATCTTTAGGTCACATTATTCTCATATTTAACATGCTCAACTAGTGCCCCACTAAGACTACTTTTCTTGCAACTTCACAGGTATGAAGGTCTGAACCTCATTAATCGTTATCATTAATACTCATTGTTAAAGTGTCTTGTCCTGCCAGACCCACTTTATTATATTAACATGCCAAGCCTGTGTCAGTGTCAGGACCTTTGAACTCTTTCTCTCTCCCTTTCTCTTGGTGGTGGGATGATTTCCCTACCCCCAGCCCAACCCCAGTGTCTTTCTCTGGTGACCAGCTGCTTCTGATGATTTTTAAGATTTCATTTCCTGAAATGGCCTTTCCTGGTCCCACCCTGCTGTGTCATTCCATGACACACGCAGAACACAGACTTGCACATTGTACTGCTTCTGAAGTAATTTTCTGTGTGCTGTGCTGTGTATTTTCCTCCTGACACTAACACAATTTTGTATGCTTGTTAAAGCAGTTTGTACATTGATTCTTCCCAGAGGAATGTGGCACCCAGGAGAGCAGCAACATGTCCTTGCTCTGTTGCACCGTCACCCTCTTAGAACCATGCCTGGAACACAGTATCTGCTCAATAGATGTCTGCTGGATGACTGAAGGAGTGAATGAATGAATGACAGGAGAGGGGATAGGATTCAAGGTGGAGAGGTCATGGCACAAGTGGGCAACTCCTCTATTCTAGGGTGTTAGAGATGTGGCATTCTGACTGGGAAGAGACACATGACCTGGTGACACAGGCAATGGAGGTTCACTCCATCTTTCTTCACAGGACAGAAATAAGATGAAGGTTCACTCCATCTCTCTCCAGCTTTGCAGTGCCCCACCCCCTCCTCTGCTACTCTGAGGCTGTTGGAAGAGTGAGTTCAGTGCATGCCACTTCCTGTTTTACCTAAAGTCAGCGGATTCTGTTCAGCACTGAAATTCCCCAAACCTAGTTTCCCAGTGCAAACCCTTGAGTCCACAGGCACCCCCTCCCCTGCCCCCAGGAGAAGCAAAATCTCCAATGGCTCCTCCAGAGGAGAGGCTCAAATGCAGCTGCTGTCTGTGGTCCTAATGACGGCAGGAATTACTGAGATTATGGAGTGGTGGGAGGAATGGAAATTGCTGTTTCTGAGGACCTGGAGGAAGAGCAGAGAAGTGGAGGTCGGGAATCTCAGATTGAAGGACAAAGGTGAGTATTTGATGACATGGCACCTCTGTTGTATTCTGAGTGAGGCACTCCAACAAGACCCACTGTGTCACCAGAACAGTCATTTGAAAGCTGCACATGTCCATAGCTTGTAAGGGACTTTCTCTTTCTGTTTCTCATGGATTCCTGAGAGCAGCCCTCTACAGGGGGCAGGGCAGGGGCTCTCATTATCCATCTCTGCTCTCTTGGATCTACTGATCCCTGATCCTTGAGTCTGTGTCCTTCCTGACAGGTTTTGATGAATGGATGACACACCATTGGGGACAACTATGGAGGCAGAGTGGGCAGGAGACGACTGGTGTTGGTGAGAGCTCCCACTTCCATGTCTTCCTCCCTCCCCTTCCCAGCAGGTGCCGGCTGCCCCCTTCCCCAGGACATGGATGGTGTGGGGAAAGGTGCCCACTTCTCCTCCAGGCAGTACTAGAATCTGACCATATTGTCCTGAGCAATTACCGCATTGCAGATCTGAGTCAAAGCCTGGATTCACCCGTAGTAGAATTACTAATAAATGAAAAATTGATGCACTCCTTTAAAAGTAATCTCAATGAGACTAAATGTTTTCTTCTTTCTTTTGCTTTCACTATATCACAGCCTTCTTATCATTTTCTCTTTCCTTTATTTTCTATTTTGTATTCTAAAGTTCAATTCAATCATAACATTTATGATTCATAAATCAGACAGAATCAAATATGTTTATTTTCTACTTATCAGCTGGGGCCCCTCTATCTCTTGGGATGGAAATAATGTCAAAGGAAACCAGAGCTAGACCATAGTTAAAGCATCAAAAGCAGATTTACTCAGGGACCAGTGCAATAGGGTAAATGAGACCTTGGTGTCAAACTGGGCTCAACTCTGGAATACAGCTAGGACAAGTGGGGATCTACATACAAATTACAGGTTGGTGTGTGGGGGGCGGGGTGGTGGAGGAAAAGCTACCAAGGGGAGATATCAAGGCTGGTGAGATGATTGCTAAACTGACTCCATTGGATTTTGTTTGTTTGTTTGAAGGCAGGCCAGGCTGATGAGATATCACATGGGCGCTGGCAGGGAATGAGGGATTTGGTCAGCTGTAGAGGGTGAGAGATTCACAGTAGGCTGAGTTAGCAGGATTCCCATTAAAACTGGACTGTATGGTGATGGGCAATGAAGCCCAAGTTACGGATCTAGTTGTGAAGAGGGTTCAGAGGAGCATGAGTAAGGTGTAGTCAATAGAGGGTCTTTGTCAGTTGGCAGATACCAGGTGAGACTTCAGCTTCTTGGCCTAAAACAGGGAGAGGGATAAGTCTCTGTTGCTTCATGATGCAGAGTCTCTTATCTTCATATCTCTCTATTTCCCACAAATCTCAGGCTAGAGAAAGGGAAAAGTCTCTAGAGCAGATCGTGACTAAATGGTAGAAGAGTGGCAAAAACAGACACATAGAGACTCTTGGACTGTGGAGCTTGGCAGATGAGGCATCCAGGAGCTGCAATATCCCATCCAGGTGAACTGGAACCACTGGATAAATGGGAGGGTCCTGTGGAGATCTTTTATCACAAGCAACAATGTAGAACATCCGTGCTGATGTCTGTGCATATCTGCAGTTTGCAACAGGAGTCGGTGGACTTGTGAGGTTACAATAGGTTAAAGACACCTGGACTGAACTCTTATGACAATTTGTACTTTTGCTTGTAAGGCAGGGTATATTTGGGGTGCCACAAACATTAACTACATCAGGGAAAGTTGTATGAAGAAAAGTATTCTGGCCTTTGCATCGTCCTGTGTAACTGTTAACTACCCGCATTGCATTATTGCATTGGGGGTGGGTCATATTTATGTGCTGGATTTCAAACCACTGAGCCCGGGTTAAACCAGGAGGTGGGGCGTGGCAGTAGCCCACCATTCCCATGAGCCCCAGCAGCAGAAGCAGACAATGTCGGGAATCGAGCAGCTTTGGAACCATGTTTCCTGTGAGGAAAGAAGAGAAGTAACTGCTGCTGCATTTGTCTCTGTTATGACACATGCTTTAGTGTCTGCAGGTCCCTCTGCTGTCACACTGGGTTCCCATTTCCTTTCCCTTCCAGTCCCCAAAGTGTGCCCTGTCTCCTGGGCACTGACTTCAGCTCACCCCTCCCCCAGCTGCTGCCCCATCACTGCTCCTCCTGTCCCAGCTCTAGGGGTCAGTGACTTACCCAGTCTCTGCGCTGTGGCTCCTGTGATCCAGCTGGTCCTGGGGTTTAGGGACAGCTGGTTCCTCCTTAGTTGGAACTGTAAATATAGAGTAGCCTGGGTGGGTGGGGCCGGCAGAGCCAGGAAGGTCTGAGCCTCCTGATTGGCCCACTTGCGCAATGAGGCTTTTCGTTTGATCACTTGGCTGACTAAGGAATACCCAAGGACAGCGCTACTGTTGCTTTGTTGTAACAGATCTAAGGCATCCTGTGTAGACTAGAGGTTTGCTAGTGAATTCTCGACTCTGCTGATGAAAAATATATACTGGCTGCAGAATGGACATGGATGTTATAACTCCTCTTCTACAGGACGGTGATCCATAAAGGCAGGCCTAGAACAAACACTCAGAACAAATTGACCAAGGGAGGGCTGTTTGCACAGGGGAAGCCCAGGTCTACCTTGGCTCCTTCTCACGCAAATGTTCTCCATTTCATCACCCCATCTCACGCAGTAGACTTGAGTTATAAGTTTCTTGCTGCTCAAGTTCTGAAGGTAATTTAAACAGTTTATTACATATGTTTGAGTGTTTTTTTTCTTTACTCCTTTTGCATTACATTTACTTTTCTCTGGTTTTATTTCTTGCCCTGATTATTGCTTCCACTTGGTGTAAAGTCACATAACCTGAAGACATTCAGAGGAAAGTCATTCTGTAAAATCTGGCAGAGAATGAACATTTGCTCTCATAAAGGAGTCTAACCTAGTGCTCAGTTTTCTAAAGCCAAGTAGGCATTAAAAATAGACTTAGACTTGCTTAAACTGCAAAGATAAATGAAACTTAATCTGGGTCCATTCTGGTAAAAGTTTGTGTTAGACAGAAATAAAACTTACCCTCAGCCAATCATAATCAGTCAACTAACATATACTAAAAAATATAATTTTTTTATTTGTAATCAATCACAGTTTCTTTATTTAGCTTCCACATTTTCCCAATAAATACTTGCCCCTGATGCTAGTCATGAGAATTTTAAACCTCTTTTGGTTTGTGTTTCAAATGCATAAATTGCTTTTTACTCCAGTAAACTCTTTTTTCTTTTATTTTTTCCAAGGAGGCCTATTACTTGGTATCAAATAAGCTCTTTAAATTGTATTGTTCCTTAATTTACTTTTTTTTTTTTTGAGACAGAGTCTCATTCTGTTGCCCCGGCTAGTGTGCTGTGGCATCAGCCTAGCTCACAGCAACCTCAAAGTCCTGCTCAAGCAATCCTCCTGCTATTGCCTTGTGAGTAGCTGGGACTACAGGCATACGACAGCATGCCCAGCTAATTTTTTCTATATATTTTTAATTGATAAATTAATTTCTTTCTATTTTTTAGAAGAGACAGGGTCTCACTCTTGCTCAGGCTGGTTTCGAACTCCTGAACTTGAGCGATCCATCTGCCTTGGCCTCCCAGAGTGTTGGGATTACAGGCATGAGCCACCTTGCCCAGCCTCAATTTACTTTTTAATAGTTTGGTGTCAGAGAAGTGGGATCTGGAGGAGACTCCTGACTACCTGTGGGCACAACAAGTATCCAGCTGTAGGTGCTGCCCCAGCTCATCCTGCTGGCTGTTGTCATGTTGCATCTGGACATCGCTCATAATTCCCACTCTATGTGGAGCTCCCCAACTTGTGTGCTGAGCTCTCTGAGTTTATCTGAGCTCTGTCTCTGTTTCTGTCTCTCTCTGTGCTGGGCTGATTATGCCCTGGTGTCTGCATGACTGGCTGTAGGTTATCTTCTTCAGATTTCATTTCCTGAGAAGGGCCTTTCCTGGTCTCACCCTGCTGTGTCATTCCCAAGACACACCCAGCACCAGCACATTGTACTGCTCTGAGTAATTTTCTGTGTGCTGTGCTGTGCATTTTCCTCCTGACACCTAACACAATTTTGTATGCTTTAAAGCAGTTCTGTACATTGATTCTTACCCCAGAGGAATGTGGAACCAGGAGAGCAGCAACATGTCCTTGCTCTGTTGCACCGTCACCCTCTTAGAACCATGCCTGGAACACAGTATCTGCTCAATAGATGTCTGCTGGATGACTGAAGGAGTGAATGAACTCGAATGACAGGGAGGGGATGAGGATTCAACTGAGGAGGCATGCAACAGAGTGGCCAAACTCTCTATCCCCTACGGGTGTAGATTGCATTCTGACTGGGCAGAGCACATGACCTGGTGACCCCGACAGGCAATGGAGGTCACTCCATCGTTCTTCACAGGACAGGAACTACAGATGCAGGTTCACCATCGTCCTCCACTTTGCAGTGGCCCACCCCCCTCTCTGCCTACTCTGAGGGTGTTGGAAAGTGAGTTCCAGTGCACCAGCTTCCTGTTTCACTAAAAGATCAGCGGATTCTGTTCAACACTAGAAAATTCCCAAACTAAGTGTTCCCCAGTGCAAACCCTTGAGTCGCACAGGACCTCCGGCCTGCCCCCAGGAAGAGAAACACCTCCAATGGCTCCTCAGAGGCAGAAAGGGCTCAAATGCAGCGCTGTCGTGTCCAGATGACGGCAGGAATTCCTCGAGAAAAAATGGGAGTTTGGTGGCCACCCGCATGAAATGCTGTTTCCTGAAGGGCACCTATGAGGAGAAGAGCCAGGAGAAGTGGAGGCCTCGGGATCTCAGATGAAGGACAAAGTGCAGTCAATGTTGTATGACATGGCACTCTGTTGTGATTCCTGAAGTGAGCACTCCACAAGACCCACTTCGTGTCACCCAAACATCATTTGACAAGCTGCACAGTCCAAGCTTGTAAGACTTGTCTTGTCGTTTTCACAGGATTGCCTGAGAGCAGGCCTAAGGGAGCGCGTAGGCATGGCTCTCCACTATCCACCTCGTGTCTCCTGGTGCACCGATCCCGATCCCGGAGTCTGTGCCTCTCCCTGACAGGTCTGATAATGATGACACAACCGTTGGGGACAACTATGGA